GCAACCTTTCCCTTTCCTGGGCCTACTGCCAGCCCCTCCACCCCTTTCCCCCACCAACCCTACTGAAAAACAATGGTGGGCAGGCCCAGCCTTTGTGTGAAGGGTCAAGCCAGTTAATCTTAGGCTGGGTTGGGGAGGGGCCAGTAGGGATCGGGAAGGGAGTGGGGGCACAGACAACCGAGGGCTGGGGAGTCTGAGGATGGAGGACGTTGGAGGCAGGGGGCCTGAGAAGTAAAAGCTTGAAACAGGCTTTGGGGAGCATTTCCTCCGAATGTAGATTTGAGCTCCTATTAAACTTGCCAAAAATTTGTGTTAGCTAATGGATTCTTAATTCTGTCTAAAATGAGAGAGGGAAAATTATGCCATTCATCTTGTATTGGTTTGAAATTACATCTGACACCTAATCGATCATACTGTGGAACATTAACTCTTTGGAAGAGACCCAACTTTTTCTCTCTCCCTCGCTTTCCAGGGCTCTGGAGCCGCCCCCACCCGATTCCTTCTTTTGTATTTCATTAACTAAGCAAAGCTCTAGCTGTCTCTAGTGGGTTGAAGGGTAGAGGCTGGGGGAAGGGTTCCTCTGAATCAAGGGAGATAATCAGGTGCCCCAAGCTTTTGCCCATAACCAGAGACCCCACTTCCAACCTTCAAGTGACCTCCTCTCTCCTGCTTTTCCCATGCATCCTGAGATACAAAAACACACAACTGAAGGCCTTGGGGTATGGGGTGACCTCAGAGCCACCTTGGGGGCACCAGGGAGAGGCGGGGAGCCAGGGCAAAGCTGGGCTAGCACCTGGGGCTGGGCAGGAGCTGGGGGGGGGGTTTCACCTGCCACTGATGTGCCTGGCAGATGGGTGAGGAGGAGGAGGGCACATGACAATAGATTTGCCTCTGGGGATCCCGATAAGCTCTGACTGAAAACCCCAACTCCAGACCTGCTCTTCCAGGAAGATTTTCTGGCAGCAGGAAGAATCTACTGGAAGCCGCCAGGCCTGGGCTAGGATCCTGGCTTCACTCCTGACAAGCTGTGTGACCTTGGGTAAGTTATATAATGCTTCTGAGTCTCAGTTTCCTTCTCTGTCAGAACAGAATAACACATGAGACAGGTCTGGAGGACTGAATACATAATCCAGGTAAAACTGGGACAGAGCCCATCACCTGGCACGCCATAGTGCCAGATAAAGGTGACAAGTGAGAATTCAGATCTCTGGTCCTTTCCTATTTCTGTTGCTTCCCTCTTCTTCCTTGCTCTCTTCTGCTCTCTCACCTCCAACTCCTTAGTTTCTGCCCCAGGGAAGATCAAGGGCTAAGAACCTAGGAGGTGGGTGCCAGCCAATGCTTTCCCCAAAGAGGGCACCTAAGGCGGCCTAGGCACCCAGAGTCTCTGCAGGATTCCTGGCCTTCTTCCTGGAATTCCTCTTTCTCCTTCAAAAACTGTGGGAGACTATCTCTGCATGAAGAACTGTCTGAGTACCCCCTACCCTGCTCAGAGGTGAAGGAAGAGGTCTCCTGAGGAGTTTGAGTTCTAGGAGGTAAGATCAGGAGGAGACGTTACTCCATTTGAGCCTGTGGAGTCCAAAGGACTACTGTCCTCAGTTTGGGTATAACTATTGAGAAGAAGTGGATTGGGTTTCATCTTTTAAGAGCAAGGGGGATGGGCAAAGGGAAATGGAGGGAGGACAGGGATATCACCTCTACTCTTACTTCCTAGAGGTACTATGGCTTCTCCCTTAGCTTGGCTCCTGGCCCTGGGTGATTACTGAAGGAATGTGGCATGTAGCTGGCCTCTGGTACAGAACAGAAAGGGGGAGCTACTGCCCTATTTCATGGCAATTCTCATAGCTCAGCACCTTTTCAGTATAGACTGCACTCTCAAAAAGCACCCACAAGCGGGCACTGTTGGCTCATACCTGTAATCCTAGCTACTCAGGAAGCTGAGATCTGAGGATCACAGTTCAAAGCCAACCCAGGCAGGAATATCTGTGAGTTAGCCTCCAGAAAACTGAGAGTGGAGCTGTGGCTCAAGTGGTAGAGCACAAGCATTGAGCTGAAGAGATCGGGGAAAGTGCCCAGGACCAGAGTTCAGGATCCACAACCGGGAAAAAAAAAAGCATCCACAAATACCCACATAAATAAATGTGCATGTGAAAAACTCATGCTGGCTTAACAAATTGGCTAAGGTCATACAGGGAAGTATGAGCTCCTATCACAGATTTATCTCAAGCACGGGAAAGTATGGCCTAGTATGAAGTATGAAGGAGCCTCAAATGAGGGATTAAGAATTGTGGGTAATGGGCTGGGAAGGTGGCTCAGTGGTAGAGCGCTTGCCTTGCATGCATGAGGCCTTGGGTTCGATTCCCCAGCACCACATAAGCAAAAAGGAAAAAAGCTGGAAGTGGCGCTGTGGCTCATATGGTAGAGTGCTAGCCTTGAGCTGAAGAGCTGAGGGACAGCGCCCAAGCCCACGACTGGACCCCCCCCCAAAAAAAGAAACCAAGAAGTGTGGGTAAATATCATGCAGCACCCTCATTTTGCAAAAGAGGAACCAAGGACTCAGCAAGGGGCATATAATAGGCCAAGGTTACAGTTGAAGCAGAACAGCCAAAAAACCTGGGCCTTTGATTTACCAGAACCTGGAAGGGCCTGAAGTTTTGAAGCAGTGAGAACTGCTTTCCCTAAGGACACAGAAGAGCAGAGGGGGATGAGAAAGTTTTTTTAACTCCCTCTCTCCTGTAACGCACATACAAACACACAACAGCAGGAAATTTATTTCCAAATGTCCCTTTCTCTGGGGAGCTCACTGTTTCCCAGGAGACGCCCGGTGGAGATGTCCCTTCCTGCCAGCCTTCCTGGCAGCCACTAGGCGGCCCTGGCTTCCTCTTCTGCTTGGAGATGCTGCAGTGAGGGTCCCACGTGGTTTGTATTAATAGGAAGTGGAGCTGAGGGCTGCAGGCACTGATGATGGGGCAGGTCAGCCAGGGGTAGGTGGGCAGCCAGGCCAGTGAGGAGACTGAGGCAGCTGCACATTGAGGCAGGACCACTCTGATCAAGGGTCCAGGGCAGCTTGGCAGGTCTAGACACATGTACTGACCTGAAATCTGATTACTAGAGGAAAAATATCCTTTCAAACTGTATTTTTTTTGTTTTCTTTCCCCTTGAATATAAAAATAATAAATAATTATTGTAGAAACAGGTAATCCAACAAAATGAATGAACAAAAGCCTCAGGCTCAAATTTTAGGATCTGTTCTCTCCTCCCCTACTTTTCTTTCATAGGAAAGCAATTAAGTTTGTTTGAAAAGTACAAGAGTGCTGTAGTCAGGAGGATGGGGATGGAATGTTCTAGAACCTGAGAGGTCCTCCTGCAGCAAACACTCCTATAATATTGGAGACACTGCTGTGTGCATCTAGCTGTTGGCCAGCATGTCAGTGGTTTCAAAGTGGAGGTCTTTCTACCCAACCTGTGTCCATTCACAACACTCTCACCTTCTGGGTGTATCATGATCCTCAGTGGAGTTGCCCAGTAAATATGGAGTGGAAGAATTTGAAATAAGTAAGGATCAGGCTGAAAGGCAGACACCAAGTTGCAAGTGACCTCCACTTCAATCATGTTCACAAACAAAAATTGCAGCAGGTCTAGAGAAAATGGCCTCAAATTCTCCAACAATTTCCATTTTCTTAGGGACAAGGGAAATGAAATGTTAAGAGTTCCTCAGACAGGGCCAAACCCATGTAGGAAAGGCTCATGTCTGGCCCTGACACGAGACAGAGCTAAGTCACTAGGGGGAGAAGGTCAAGGCTGGAAGGCAGGGACAGGAGTGGTAGAGCCAGATGTGAATTTCGCAGTTTTGCCCTTCTACATCCAATTTGATTGGATGTCTTCAGATCATCGTTCAATTAAGAAGGGATTTAAACATATGGAGGAGACTCACCTCCCTCAAGGGATCCACCCCAAACCATACCGGGATGGAGACCCAGCCCTTCAGGTCCTGTTCTTCTTGCCAGAGAACTTAGGTAGGAACTTGCCACCAACACGTGTACATTATCATTCCATTTAACCATGGGTAAATGGGAAGTCTTAACCCCATTGTACAGAAGAACAAGGCTAACAATGGTGACGTGACTTGCCCAGATCACAAACCAAGTGACAGAAGGAAGAAGACACTGCAATCTCAGGCTCCCAGAGGCTTTCCACCAAGGTCCCAGGCCTTGGTTGGGATTCTGAGGACTGGTCCTTCTCCTCATAGAGGTCCCTGGCCTCCCTTGGAGCTCAGATTCATGCTGGATGTCCTGTGTTGTGGAGGCAGATCTCATGGCCTCTTCCCCTGAGAAGTATACTTAGGATCTCGAGGAGGGCCGTGATGGAGACACGTGTCACTTGGCCTGGGCCTTGTGATCCATGCTCCTGGGAGTTGCGACCTTTCCGTTTTGCCAGTGCTTGTTCTTCTCTCGACGTTCCTGGTCCATCACCGTGCCCCCTTTGTCTGCCCCAACCTGGCCATATTCTCCAGGAAAAGGCTCGAAAAACCTCTGCAGCGGGGCCGGCCTCTGGAGCAAAAGCCATGGAGCCAAAGCACGGCTCCGCTTCGCCTCCCTTCCCGCCCTGCCCGGCCGGCCGCGGCGGGGAACCCAGGGCCCGCAGCCCCGGCGGCAGCGGAGGGCAAGGGCC